GTAGGGATGTCCCGATCACCTTTTTTTGCTCCCGATCCGATCATTTGATTTTGACAATTTGCCGATACCGATTTTTCCCGATCCGATCTTTATAAAATGCATTAAGAGAAAAAAAAAAGCATTCAAATTGTCCCTTAAGGTTATTTTTTTATTTAAATTTAATATTCTATCCAACATGGATATAGCTTCTTTTTTTCACAGCAGCATTGGATCAGTTCAGTTGTGCAGCATTGGATCAAAACAAAATAAAGCTTATCAGTACTCGTTAGCTTACTGCTACAATTAGACACTGCGCCCACTCTGTTGCCAGATTTGAGAGAAATAGGTCTATGAAAACAAGCCCCAAAGAAGCAACACATACATGATGTTCTGTAATTTGAAACCAAAACTAAGGCCTCAGGATGACTTTAAGACTTGAACATGGTCATTTTTGTTTTGTAACATTGAATACAAAATTTAAAAAAAAAAAAAAATGCCGATCCCCGATTTTTTTTCTCCCGATTCCGATCTTTTGAAAATCACGTGATCGGCTCCGATCCCCGATCACGTGATCGGATCGGGACATCTCTAATCATCTGCACACTTCAGCTTCCAAGATCTTCATTCTGTCTTGCTTTCTTATATTTTCTAACTAGCTCCAAACGGGGAGAACATGATCAGAGGAAGATGTATGTATGGTTGTTCTTGCATTGATCTTAAGATAAAACACAAGCCATCGGAAAGAACTTGAACACTTAAAATAAAATTGGCATGCGAAGTGAAGCGTTCTGCATCAGAAGGGCAGCTGGTTTCCTTTGTCCAAGCCTTTTTCTCCTTTGAGCCAGTGAAGATAATTCTACCTCACTTCTTCAGATGGACTGTTATCAGGGATGCTGGGTAATTTGAGTCAGTGATGAGGTCGGGGTGCAGGAGGAACCCTTAATGAGATGTGCTGGAGGTGCTGCTGGTGTTGGCTCTCCTACGGTGTGCACTTTGACTAGTGAGGGCCCTCCTCTGCTCCTACTGGCTGATTCAGAAAGGGAAGAAATTGAAAGAAAAGATAGTCCCTGGTATTCTGCAGCACACTGAGGATTTTCTTGTTGGGTAATCATGTGGGAAAAGGTTGGGCTGCAGTGTCTTGCTTTACAGAGTAGGGCTGCTCAATTAATCGTATTTTAATCGCGATTACGATTATGGCTTGCAACGATTATGAAAACGACGTAATCGAAATAAAACGATTATTTTTGTATTATTATTACTTTTTTTTTTTTGGTTTTTCAGTTGAATTATACTTAAAGTTCAGGGTAATCAAAAAAACATACTGTTCACATGTTTTTTCTCCAATAAATGGATGTTTTCAAAGTCAATGAATAATCGCATTTAATAATCGCAATTACAATTATTGACCCAAATAATCGAGATTATGATTTTTGCCATAATCGAGCAGCCCTATTACAGAGAAACAATTACAGTGGCTAACTATGGAGAGCCTGACCATACATACATGTTGGCATTATATTAAGGATGGCAGCATTCCACCTCCAGCCTCTGTTATGACAAAAACAACTTTATCTGTAACATCCAGTTTCTAATGAGCCTGCTTTACTAAATGCAGCTATCGGTTCCCAGTCATGAGTTTCAAAATATGCATGTAAAATGTTTTGGGACATAAAACTTGCTTGTGAGCTCCAATAGTTACTTTGATCTTGCTTTTAGAATTTTCTTTTTTATAATCGGCACTATTTTCTTTTTTCTCTCCCAGGTTCCCGCTTTGAGAAGGAAGACAATATTCCAGAAGCCGGATCTCCAAAAGGAATCCCTGGAAAAAGTGCCCGAAAAATGCTGGCCCATCCACCCGTCTCCATGCCCTCCGTGCCTCACCCATCGAGGGGAACTCTCCAGACACCGGAGTGTTTTCTGGAATAGATTAGGAAAATAGCTTAACCCCGCAATAGAAATGGTATTAGTTTGTCTGAGCTATACCACATCAGAGGTTATTTTAGAATACAGGTGAGGCCGATCCTCACCTTGCTGACAAGGTCGTATCATGGCCGCTGCTGATCCCCATAGCAACGCTTCCTTGGCGATGCAAGGAGCAGACTGAGAGAGTCAACGATGCAGCGTAACGGCGGGGGGGCGGGCGCCGGTGGCCAGCCATGGGTGTTACGGCGCGTGCGTCTCACCTGGCTCAGTTTCATGCTCTTTTTCATCCTGGTCTTCTTCCCACTCATCGCCCATTACTACCTCACTACCATCGATGAAGCCGGGGGTCCCGAGAAGCACATCTTTGGCCCGCGGCCCGGCGGCGAACTCTGTGAGGTCAAACATGTGCAGGATCTGTGCCGGATCCGCGAGTCGGTCAGCGAGGAGCTGCTGCAGCTGGAGGCCAAGAGGCAGGAGCTCAACGGGGAGATCTCCCGACTCAACATGCGCATCGAGGCCTGCAAACGCAGCATCGACAGCGCCAAGCAGGACCTGCTGCAGCTGAAGAACGTTATCAGCCAGACAGAACACTCCTATAAAGAACTGATGGCCCAGAACCAGCCCAAGCTTTCACTGCCCGTCAGACTGCTGCCAGACAAGGAGGACCCGGGTTTACCACCGCCGAAGTCTGCACGCTCCTGCCGCCTACGCTCCTGCTTCGACTACGCCCGCTGCCCTCTCACCTCTGGGTTTCCAGTCTATGTCTATGACACCGCCTCCTATCCATGGGCAGACTTTATTGACCCCCTGGTGAAGCAGGCGTTTGCAGCATCAGTGAAGAGCAACATTTATATAACCGATAACCCCAGCGTTGCCTGTCTCTACTTGGTTTTAGTCGGGGAGCTGCAGGAGGAGTCCTCCCCGCCTCCACCTCCCTCAGAGCTGGAGAAGCAACTGAAAGCTCTGCCTTACTGGAGATCTGATGGACACAATCATGTTCTGGTGCATTTCTCTAGAAAGTCAATGACACAGAACTTCCTGTATAATGTGAGCACAGGACGGGCAGCAGTAGCTCAGTCCACCTTCCTGGAGCAGCAGTACCGCGAGGGCTTTGACTTGGTTGTGTCCCCGCTCGTTCATGCCCTCTCAGAGCCAAACTTTTTAGAAGTGCCCCCTCAAGTTCCTGTAAAGAGGAAATACCTCTTCACCTTCCAGGGGGAGAGGGTGGAGTCACTAAAGAGCAGCTTACACGAAGGACCCCCCCAGACTTTCGAGGAGGAGATGGAAGGAGACCCACCAGCCGACTACGATGATCGCATCATCGGCACCTTAAAGGCGGTGCAGGACAGCCACCTTGATCAGGTGCTGGTGGAGTTCACCTGCAAGAACCCCCGGCCGAGCCTGCCGACTGAGTGGGCTCTGTGTGGGGAGAGGGAGGACCGGCTGGAGGTGCTTAAGGTTTCCACCTTTGGCCTGGTGATAGCTCCAGGGGACGGGCAGCTGGTGGCCTCAGCAGGCTGTGGGATGAGGCTCTTTGAGGCCCTCGAAGTGGGGACCATCCCAGTCGTGTTGGGGGACCACTCCAGACTGCCGTATCACCAGCTTATTCGATGGAGCGAAGCTGCCATCATAGTCCCTAAGCCTCGTGTCACAGAGCTACACTTCCTGCTGCGCAGCCTATCAGACAATGACATGCTGGCCATGAGGCGGCAGGGCCGCTTCCTGTGGGAAACGTACTTCTCTACCTCGGAGAATGTTCTAAACACCCTCCTGGCCTGCATCAGAACCAGCATCCAGGTTCCTGCTGCTCCCATCAAAGAAGAGCCGGCTCACGAGATTCCCCACAAAGCAGGGAAGCTGGCAGGAACTGATGCCAACCTGGCTGACAATGGGGACCTGGATCTGGGTCCTGTTGAGACGGAGCCCCCCTACGCCTCTCCGCGCTTTCTCCGCAACTTCACATACACAGCTTCAGAAACATATAGAGCATGGAACCGGGCCCCGGGGCCTTTCCATCTGTTCCCTCACACTCCTCTGGACCCCGTGCTGCCCTCAGAAGCCAAATTCCTCGGCTCTGGAACTGGCTTCAGGCCCATCGGTGGAGGTACGGGAGGCTCAGGGAAGGAGTTTCAGGCAGCTCTAGGAGGGAACGTGCCCCGAGAACAGTTCACCGTGGTCATGCTGACCTATGAGAGGGAGGAGGTGCTGATGAACTCTCTGGAGAGGCTGAATGGACTGCCGTACCTCAACAAAGTAGTGGTGGTGTGGAACTCACCCAAGCCTCCCTCAGACGACCTGCTGTGGCCAGACATCGGTCTGCCCATCGTGGTGAGTGCTCCTAATGTCTAACACTTTTGTTTAACAAATGTCCAATTTATCTCAGTGATGTTTGTTTGTATTTGTAAGGAATATATCTCTTTCTTATCTCGTCTCTTTGAAGTGCAAACGAGTAACTCAAGGTGTTTTTGAGGTGGTGCAAAGTTTGATGCGGTACATTACACAAAGTTGTTTGGATCAGTTCTTCTTTGAAACTCTGCAGGAGTCCATACAAATTACTAGCCGTCTGAAAAGTCTGACACCAATGAATAACACAATTTGGGCTTTGAATTAAGTCGGAAAAAATCAAATATTCATGTGATTCATATTCACCCCATTAGTTTGTGACGGGCACAAGTGGTAAGCTGTGAAGAGAAACTAAAGAATTAGATTGTTTTTGTCAGTGCCAGCAGAGTCTTTGCTGCCATCTGGCACTACTATTTAACAGGCTTATATATAAACTGCTTTTATACGGATCATGTATAACTACAACGTAGGGATGCATATTTTTTAGGATACCGATACCACTGAACGATACCGATACTCAACCGATACATATCGTGATACTTTGAAAATGTATCATCCCACAATTACTCCCATCATGAAGCGCTTTACGATATAGTTAACATGTCAAATGAATATTAAATTGTGGGACTTCTTGGACCTGTTAGTACTGAACAAACAATGAAAAATACATTAAAAATATGAAGAAAACCGATTATGGAATATCTTTTATAACACCCGCCATCAGGTGTGCCGCGTGAATAGCACATCTTGTCGATGCAAACAGACCGTTTATAGCACCGTTATAATTAATGTTAAACCTGAGATTCGACTAGAGAACAAATAAATAATAGAATAAAGGTCATGAGATCTCGGCATTGCACAAACAAACAAATCTCATCTTTAAAATCAACATTTGCCTTCACTGGTGAGAGAACACATCCCATCACAGCTCATTTGTGGGACTTTTACCTTTCTAGTATTGAACAAACAATGACAAATACATACACCGAAGCCGGTGCAAGGCGCGCGATCTGATTGGCTGGCGGATGTCAACAATATGGTGCAGCCCACACTCCACGGTGACTCGTTTGTGGAGTTGCAAGTCGAAATTGACATCGTAATTTGGCGGTTTGGGCCCGAGTTTAAGGATATTACGGCTCACTTTTAAAATTAAATAAATAAAAAAAATATTTTTTTTTTTTTTTTTTTTAAAGTATCGAAACCGGATCTGATTTTGTTACGGTATACCGTAGCCACCAGTAACCGGTATTTCGGTAATACCGGATACCGGTATGCATCCCTACTACAACGTATGACTGACACATGTTTGGAATAATTTTGTGCTAAAATATATCTTATGGAAGAATCTGAACTTTGTGATTTTAGTCTTTGCAGAACATTTACATGCACATAAACCTATATAACACACTACAGCAAAAGCTCAAACTCCCAAAAGCACAATCCAGCCTCTTTATAAAGTATCACTTCTCAGAATAATGAGTGAAAGAGTTTGTTGTTGCGCCTGCAGGTTGTCCGCACAGAGAAGAACAGCCTCAACAACCGCTTCCTTCCCTGGGACGTCGTGGAAACCGAGGCCATCCTGTCGATTGACGATGACGCTCATCTCCGCCACGACGAGATCATGTTCGGGTTCAGGTCAGTGACAGTAACAGAGTGCATGAGATCTTAGAGATTCATACATACAAGAGAGAAACCCTGTAAACAACATGTGTCATCACTTTGGGCTCTTGGGCAACACATGCATTTGTCATTACTTTTTTGTGGATTGAAACACAAAGCATTTTATTGTCTTATAACATTGAATTCAAGTGGATTTGATACGGGGAAAAACAAAGATATGTAGAAGTGAAAACAAATCTCTTCTAATTTAATTACAAATGTTTGCTAAAGTACTCTCATTTTAAAAGGCACTGAATAGACTAAACAATTACCTTTAATGTTTGATGATAGGCATCCAGACGTGGAGGGGAAGGACAGGCAATTAAAATAAATCTTTACAGACCACAATTTTCGCTTTTTTTCCGGTTATTTTGAAAAGAAAAGGGGTTGTGATTAATGGAATGTGTTTTTTGTTTGTTGAAGAAAACAAGATTGATGATAGTTAAAGTTGTTCTTTCTCAAGAGACATGGTGTGAAGAGTCGAAAAAATGCAGCGTAATTAGAGGGAAAGCTTCGTCTCCAGTGGGAAGAGCAAATGCCCCAAAGAATGCAGAAGCTTCGCATTCCTGAAAAATTCTGAATTCTACAGAAAAACTGAAGCCACCACTCGAAACTCATCCAGATCAATTTAAAGGAAAAGATGCTTCCTTGTAATTATGATTTATTTGTTAATACTTTACTTGGATAGGCAGATTGTGAAGGCCATGTCTAATCCAATTAAAAGACCACCATGCCGCAGCTGCGTGTCCAGGCAGGCAGGCAGAAAGTGTGTGTGTGTGTGTGTGTGTGTGTGTGTGTGTGTGTGTGTGTGTGTGTGTGTGTGTGTGTGTGC